GTAGTATAATACAATTCTTGTATAAGTATTATATTTATATACATTTGTTACATTTCAATTACAAGCAAAGTATAATTGTAATTTTGAATTGTAATTAATATATAAGTACATTATTATGTTATATTTGCTATTATTAATTACATTTGTTGCGACTTTTTCGTGATGCTGAAGGAGTGGTATACTGGCTGCTTCACAGTGTGTAATAGAAAGATTGGTCATTGTATTGCACATCTGAATTCCTTCAAGAGGTGATGGCACTTCAATAACGGGTTTGTTGTCTTCACTATCCTTAGTATAGGTATGTGTTGCATTTTTTCTTCAGCTCTGTAACTTGTTCCTGACAGTACTATATCTTAAGATTCTTTACTCCTTTAGACATTAATAAAGCTTATTTTCCATGTTCTATAGAACTGTTAGACTTTTCGCTTCAATTTGTAAACAATTTAGTCTCATTTAGTGTACAAGCTAATCAATTTTTGGTATACAAATGACATCTACTAAGGAATAATCCGAAAATTTTCTATTCGTTATTCCATAGCGAATATTTGGAATAATTTACCGCGCACCGAGTCTGTTGCCAGGAAAAATTATTCCTTATGAGATATATTCCTTACTACCGTATTCGTTATGAGATTATTGACTGTATGGCACATGGTCCATGCAATATGGTGCCATTCTACCCCGCTTGTATGCGCTCGTAAATAAATGTCCGTTTTTTACTTCGATGTATGCACAAGTGAAGATATCAGCTTCGAGAATACCTTGGCTGACTTTACTCAGATATGCTTCCGAGCAAGCGGCGACTTGGCATGATTGCGAATTCTTTGCTGTTAAGGGAGTATTCCAACATGTACTTGCACTAATAGTACTGTTGGTTGTGCCTGGATAAATAGGTGAATGCTTGATTATAAGATCAGCATATTCACGCCATTCGAATCATGATCCACAAAACCCAAGCACGTACTAGTACTACTGTATCATTTGTTTTCTACTCTGGAGGATGTCTTGAATTTGCGTTCGCTTAGATATTCGTGAATATAATTTCAACATAATTCTGAGATTAAGAGTGAACAAGTGCACTCGAACATCTGGCAGAGCCCACTACTTGAAGTCTATAAATTGCACTTTGATTTTTCCAACCTTCTATCTCAACCCATTTCTTGTCCTTACGCCCTCGATGTACTCTCGCTCGTATCAATAAGCTCCGTCTGCACGTCCAACGGCTTCTTCCTTCCAACATCATCTTCGTCATAGAGGCCTAACGGAGCCTCCCCATGCTCTTCCGCTTCAATGTCGCTCTTCCTACGCACTTTCATACCTTCCATCGTACCTCCAACCTCGGCATCTCCAGGTACGTTCTACAAAGACAACATCAATTGTGAGTTTGACTGTGGAGAAAGAGGGAGGGAAGGATGGTAGACGTACATGAGGTGGGTCGTCCATAACGTCCTTATGAAAATCATGATCCGTCGTCGGTGGACGGTCGGATACCGTACTCGTCTTTTTGAACGTACGCGCCTCACCCGTCGAGCGGAGCTTAGTTTCTTCCTTTGGTGGTTTTTCGGAGTATGCAGACATTGTTGTAGACGGAATTCGTGTCTCAAGGGTTAAGTCTCAGGAGTCGAGATTGAAGTTAAGTGTGCGTTATGAAGACAAAGATGAGTAGTGCTTAGACGCGAAGAGATCTCTGAGTGGCATCTTATATACCAGTTGGCGGGACAGGCTAGGAGAACTGGCGTCAAGAGTGATGTCACATCGGAAGTTTTGAAGCCAAAGAATGAAGTCGATTTTGGAGTCGGTGAGTCTAGCAAAGTCTGATCGACAGACATACCTATTACCTTATCTGGAAGTTGTGGACCTACATTGTCAACACGAGGTTTGGAAATGATTTGCAGTCTGAATCAGGCTCGAGGTTCATCAAAGGATAAAAAAAAGGTGATTGGATACTGTACAGAGAAACACTCAGCTATAAAAAAAAGCAGCTACAAAAGATAATCTAAGGAAATTATAGCAGAATCATAACTCCATAGGCGACCCAAGTGTATTTTTCGCAATCAAAGCTTTTGCCCACTCCGCGTCGGGAGAAACACGCGCAGCAAAGTACCGTCCCAGTGTCGCTCCCAAATCCGCCATGAAAGACGCGTCGTCTGGGTTGGCTGGGTTTAAGGGTCTAGGTTGGGCGGATGGTGAGGCTAGGAGTTTGAACGCATCCTATAAAACGTTGATAAATCAAATACTTCAGTGTCGCAAAGTATTGAAAGTATTGTGAACATACCATCACCGAACTAATAAGTTGCACACTCTCCGCAACACTACCCGCACACTCACTTCCAATGATCCTCGCTCCACCACCTTCGACAAGTCCCTTCCTCACTGCCTCCTTCCCAACACCAATAAGTCCTCGTACGGCACCTTCCCGTGTACCTTTGCTCTTTCCTGGCGAGAGCAATGCAAGGAGGAGAGTCTTCATGATGCGTGGTGATAGCGAAGGGTATGTCGTTGAGTGTTGTGTGAGGAGGTGCGAGAGAGTTTGGGATGCCATGATACGTAGGTGAGTGGAGTTTGAGGGGAGACTTGTGTGGAGGAGGATGGAGAGGAGAGGTGGGAGCATTTGATGGAGCTACGCGTCGACATGAATTAGACGGATGGGGAGAAGTACGAAGAACATTACTCACATATGGTTCAACAAAGAGTGTGCTATTGTCAAGCAACGCTCCGATGACCTCCAAATAAACCTCCAACGCTCGTCCATCATTTTCAGAATGATTCGTATCACGTAGGATAGCAATGACGCCGTCACCAACCCATTTGACGAGATAAGGCAGGAGAGTCTGAAGACCCGCATCGTTTCGGAGACTTGAAAGTGCAGCCGCCTTTCGCGTGTCGTCTGCCGGAGGCATAAGAGTTGGCGGCATGAGCGTTGACGTGAGGCGTGTATAGTATAATTGCAGCTCCCGCGAAAGGACCTGTTTAACAAGTAATTGATTCGGCTTAGTAGAGTTGAAGGAAGCGTTGCGAGACGGAGACGGAGGTGTTGGAGGGAACTGAGTTCCATTGCGAGGTGGAGTCGAGAGTTTCGCAGACGCGATGTCCGGTTCTGCGTCGCGCCTTTCTGCAGCAGGCGGGTTTTCAGGAACGTTCGGCTGTACACCCTCCACAGCTAACCAATGCGCAGTATAACTAGCAGGTTTCGGAAGTGTAATCTTCTCCTCGCGAAGAACGCGATCGAAGTCAATCTCCTCGTCCTCAACGAAATACACGGGCCCAGCGGTTGGTGCGCTAGGGAAGGGAAGTGCACGACGGAATGTAGGGGGGTTATGTGGTGCGTGGCCATAGAGAGGCTCGATATTGAGTACGCGAAGAGCTTGGTCGATGTCTGAGGTTGTCATTGTCGTTCGACGAGCGTGGCGGGTGAAGCGAGCTGCTTCCTGAAAGCCAGTTCTTAGTTCAGTAGACTCGGAACGGAATTGGGGCTGGTTGAACGAACCTCGATGACCTGGTGCATACGGTATTCAACATCGCTTGCAAGTGCACTCGCGATAGCCTCGGAGAGGTTGCTTATGCCGAATGATTCAGCAACGTCCTGTAACGAGTTGGTCAATGTACTCAACAAGAACCACAAATGCTCACCTTTATGGACTCGGACTTGTACAGCCCAGATGCCTGAGCTTGTGCCTTTCCTTTCTGCTTGCTCATGATGACGAGAACCAAGCTATAGTGGATGAAGTGTCTTTCGTGGTTTGTTCACGGTTGTCGACGTTGAATGCTTAGCAGCGTGCACGCACGTGCACAAAACCAGGCGCGTTCAGTCACATGACCCATACACGCATTGAAGACGGTCTACACTCGACTCGCTCGTCACTGACCTCTGCAGCGGCGACAACGACGGCGGCGACGAAAACACGATGGTCGCAACGATAGACTACTACTGCCCATGCATGTCTCCTACTCCCGTTCCTCCGCCTCCTCATCTCCCCTCTTCATCCGCCTCCTTTCACCCACTACACACGCTTTTCTTCTGCGAGGAATGCGACGCCGTCCGATGCAATAGCTGCGTTTCAATCGAAGTCAGCGGCTACTACTGTCCAAACTGTCTATTCGAAGTCCCCAGCGCAAGTGTACGCGCAGAACGAAACCGATGCGCACGAAACTGCTTTCAATGTCCACTCTGTCGGAACACTCTGTCTACTGTGCCTTCGGACCCAGTTAGCGGAATACTTCCTTCAGGTGCTACTCCAGGAGAACCGCCGTTTCTCCTGTACTGCAATAATTGTCGATGGGACTCTGCTGAAGTCGGGATAACGTTCGAGAAACCTACTGGACTTGCACAACAGCTTCAGCGTTCAGAAGATTCAGCACCAGAGTTCCTTGAATTCGAACGTCTCAAAGATTTCTTCGATCCACTTGTACGGTCTTCACTTAGTGCCTCTCAACAAGGACACGCACCTATAACGCACAGCGCACATCACAACGCGATTCACGCAGCTGCTTCAAATGCACTTGCTCGGGATATACCTGGTGTTGGGAAATATCACGCTCCGACGCGTACACGGGCGAGTAAATTTAGGCAGGGGAGTAAGGATGATATGCCGGTGTATCGTGCGCGTGTTGAGGCGAGCGGTGCTAGTGGGCTTGGTGCGGGAGGAGATGGTGATGTTAGTTTGATGCGTCACTTGGAGAGTCCTTCAGAAATTGCGAGGCTTGAACAACGCTGGTTGACGAGCTGGGCTGAGTCTCTGCGCTCAAAGTGAGAATTTTTCTTCTTTATGCATGTACCTTTTTTCTGACACTATTGCTAGGGACCTGAAACCTATCCGAATACCTTTACATTCCCGATTAACAAAACGCTGCGCTGCATGCCGACATATTCTCATTAAACCCGAACAAAAAGCTCAATCCGTCCGATTCAAAATGAAACTGGTTGCTGCTAATTATCTTCCTGCCATCCAAGTCGCTCTTCCGAATCAGCCGAACTTACAAGCTCGGCGATTAGGGTCCACTTCTTCGTCTACTCAAAAGGATAAAGATAAAGATGACGATGGAGGGATACAGTTACTCGCTGGGAAGACGTATCCTTTTAAGCTTGCGCTTACGAACCCTTTATATGACTTGATACAAGTACGCCTTGCTGTCCAACGACAGCAACTTCAAACCACCTCAACTACTACTGAAGAAGTCAGTGGGCCACCAGCCCCAAGGAGACCGCATTTTGCAGTATCCCTTCCGACAAACTCATTTGCAATCGCACCGTATGCAGAAGCCTGGGAGTATGAAGACGATGAAGAGATGTTTGAAATGGACGATGATGGGATGCCTGCAAGTCCGACGAAGGGACGCGGGAAGGTGAAGACGGTTGGTGTGTTGGAGAAGAAGGCGAATACGACTGTCGTAGGAGGGGAAGTGGTTATTAGTCGAGAGGGACGTGGTGAAGTCAAGGTTTGTCCAACATCTCCGTATTCTTAGAGCAGTGTCAAATGCTGATTTCCTTCGCGAATAGTTCAATATGTTGGTGTCGTATACGTATCGGTCGGATGAGCCGCAGGATGAGGAAGGGGATACGAAGTCGCGGAGTACGTCGACGAAAACGGCACCGGAGATGAAGACTTTCTCATTTTATACTGTTGTTCACCTTGGGACGATCGTGCCTAGAGAGGATGTTGCCCAAGTCATAGATACTACATGAATTTGGGATTTAGTTTATTTTGTTCTCTTAGGGTAGAATAATGGAGTTAATAATTTCAAAAGTAATCAAAGTATTTTGCATGGTATATAATGCCTCCGTTGTGGGTATTGTGCGCAGCATGAGAAATATATTCAATATCGGGTTGATAGTCTTGGTATCCCACGAGGGTTCACTTCACTTTGCATCCGTCGACCATCTCCTCCTACCCAGCTTTCATTCTTTTACCAACCCATTCCTTTCCCTATCCTCTCTCTTTATCACTCTCCCTGCTGTCAATTCTCAATTCTCACCCTATTCTGTCCTTTCTCTGTTTATTAGCTTAGCTAGCTACTTTCATGCGACGTATCAATCTCCTTGACGTCCTCTGTCTCGTACACGCCGTCCATGCCGTTTCTTTCCCCTTCGAAGTATGGCATGGTCCTTCGAAATATGAAGCCGTGTCCCCGTCGCAGAGGTTGGAGAAGAGAGATCCGATTAGTATAAAGAATTTTGCGAATTCGGTGTATGTGAGTAATATCACGCTTGGAGGCGCGACGGTTCCTGTGATGCTTGATACTGGAAGGTGCGTTCCGTTATTTTTTTATCTCGTGCCACTCGCTCATAGTGGCGGCTTTATCGTTGGGGATGTATGAAGTTCGGATCTCTGGGTGACTGGGTCTGTACCGAGTGCAACAGACTCGAAGAAATCTGTTGAGTTGCATTACGCAGTGGGGACGGCATCAGGTGTGTTGTACTGTCTCGTCAGATGCGAGTTTGGAAGCTCACAATTTGCCAAGGCGATATTTTCTTTGCCGACATGACCTTGGCGAACCACACCGTGAAGAACCAAGCCTTTTGTGAGTTTGTCCATAGTGGACACCCTTACTGAAGAAATTTCTCATGCGTTTTCTTCCCCTTCCCAGTGCTTGTGACCGATACGTCTTCCTTCTCTGCAAACATCTCTACTCAAGGGTATCAAGGCCTCATCGGTCTCGGACCTAACACCGGTTCACTCATCCGTGAGAAACTCGACCGTGACGACTTCACAGGCGACGCAGTCCTCGACAGAGTATTCCAACTAAACGAAACGACATCCAATTACATCACTTTCATGCTCGATCGTAGGAACGATCCAGGCTCAACTATCACTGGACAGTTCACTATTTCGGAAGTAGTGACGGGTTTTGAGAATATTACGAGCCAACCGAAGTTGGATATCGTTACTGTTCCTGGGTTGACAGATCGAGACCAACATTGGCAGATGTATACGGATGTGAATGGATTTATTGGGCCTGATGGGCAGCCTCTTAAGATCGACTCAATAGTACCTAAGGCTCCTGATGGGCAACTCGTCGCTGTCGTCGATTCTGGGTTCACCTTACCTCAAGTACCGCGAGACGTCTCTGATCAGATTTATGGACGCGTACAAGGTGCGGAGTGGAACGCGGAAAACGCAGTTTGGACTATACCCTGTGGACAGATGTTGAATATCTCGCTCAAGTTTGGTGGTGTTGAGTTCCCTATACACCCACTCGACGCGTCTTCAAGTGACTTTGGACTGGTGGACTCGAATGGAAATAGTGTTTGTGTGGGGACGTTCCAGCCTATTACGTCTGCTTTCAGCTTACTTGGAGAATACGATATTATTCTGGGCATGAGCTTCCGTAAGCATCATCTTTCATTAGTCTCCTCTTTTGTCGCCTTCTAAACGTTACTTCGTAGTCCGAAATTCATATACCCTGATCGACCTCGGGAAGTTCGTCGAAGGCTCCTCAAAAGACGACGTCGACGGGTACATCCAAATGCTCCCTCTCACAGACAAATCAAAAGCCCACACCGACTTCGTGCAAGTCCGACTTAACGGTGTCGATACGACTGGTGACCCGAAGTATTACCTCCTCCCTGCTTCGGAGGGCCAACACTCCCCGGAATCGGCAGCGGAGAAGAAAGCGCATTTAGCTGAGAAGGTTCTGAGTCGATGGCCTTATATCCTTTTAGGTTCACTGCTTGGGTTCATTCTGATTGTTGGGCTGATCATTTGGAGGTGCTGTTGTCGAAGACGCTGTCAAGAGCGTAGGAAAGCGAAAGTTGCTGGTGGTGCAGCGGCTACAGGCGAAGCAGGTGGGATAAAAGGTGTAGGCAAGCGTCTGAGTGTCAGCATGAACGCGTTACAGATGAACACGCTCGGACACGGTGGTTCGAGTTCTTACCACCCCATAGGAGGAGGAGGGGAACACGGACAGTATTCACCGTCCTCGTCTTCTTACAATTTATCGAACCAGCAACAGTACAGTCACCATCACCCGCCTTCTTATCATTCTGGGTATAGCGGACACCGTGTGTAGATGTGTAGGTAGTTGCGAAATTTGCCAAGTGCATCAGCCGTGCTGTTGCTACGTTCTTAAACTTCCCTCGATCTTGCATTTTGACATTTCCCTACGCATCTATTTCCTATCATTCCTTTCCTCCGTGAGCTGCTTTTCCCCCCTTCCCCCACCCTTCTTTTTTTTTGCGGACACTATGTGTATGTCTTATATAGTGTAAATTGGAAAAACCCAGTTAAATTGCTCAGTGCACCCCACTCCCTAGAAGCTCGGGATATCTCCTCGCTTTGACACGTGAGTGCGTACAATGAAGATTTTGGTTTCATTTCTATTTTAAAAGTTCGGAGTGGGGGTGTATTGCAAATTTACAAATTTACAATTTTTCTGAGTCTAGGCGACTAACTACTTAGTAATGTTCTAAGTTAAGTAAATCAGTTTCTATAGACTTGGTCATGCTGTGTTTGCTGCTGCCTTTGCACGTAGGATCTTCTCGACAGTCGTACCCATGAACCTATTCAAATACATAAACAAACACAAAAACCGAAAGTCAATCAATCAATCAACCCAATTAAGTGAGAAATACGGTAGAAAGTGATTGTATATTTGGATATACCCACCCGACGTTTTCTTTCTCAATAAGCTGACATATACTTTTTTTTTATAGCGCAAGGACAAAATTAAAGTATGAGTAAGAGGTAAGCTAAGATGATGAAGATGGGAGATGATGTACTTACACGAAACCTCTATCGTTCCGAACTCCGAGTTTTGAAGTTAAGAACTCGGAGAAGGCTTTAGTGTATTTCTCGCTTGTTTCTGGTGTTACTGCGATGTGTTTCTGTTTTCATCGTTTTGAGATGAGATGATGAAATATCGTGAATATAAATATAAATAATAAAATGACGCACGATTTCGAGAGAGAAAGCAGGGTCGAAGGAGCCTGCGAATAATTGGAACTCGTTATACGTGTAACGCGCTTGGAAGTGTGCTTCGGAGTAGCCTAGTAGTTCCGAGCCGAGCTGTAACGTGTAATGTTAACATTGCTTGCCCCGTCTTTCGGAAAATAACGGAACTGAGAGGAATTTTGAACGTAGACGTACTTTGGAGAGGCCGAGGACGAGCGCCTTAGGGTCTTCAACCTAGAAAATTGTTGATAGATTTTGAGAATGGTGAGATAACATGGTGGGTTAGGGACAAAACGCACCTTGATGTTGGTTGTTAAGTTAATCTCAGGCATGGTGGGAAGTAGCTGAAAAGCGGTATTAGGAGAATGAAAGTGCAGAGTAAGCTTTAATGTTCAAAGAAAATGAGGATGAGGACAAAGAAAACACAAACTCAGCACGCATTTATATGTTTTCCTAAATACGTATATCCCGGAGCTATACGGAGGGAAACGTCATCAACACACATTTGCTCCGTCAGATATCGTTGCAGATACTCCAAATATTATACATCTTGACTGCAACTGACTAAGTTCGGGGAGGAGACTCGTCAGCCTAGTGTTGTCGTCTGAGTGGAAGATACGGTCTACCATTGGTTACCACGACTCTCGCCGGGAATTTTCGGGTTCGAAGCTCAAAAGGGAGTCATCATTCGACCGGTACACTGCTAGGAATAAAAAAACACTGCGTCAGCCACTGGGATTGATCGTGATGTACATGGAACATGAAGGTAAAAAGTAGGAAGTCTGCTTTTGGAGGGATGCCTAATTTGGGTTCAAGTAGAGAATTGGACTTCATCCTCGAACGAGAAACCAAGAGGTGCAGGCGGCACTGATGAGGGCATTGTGCCGGCTAGGCGCAAGCAAGACGTTAAAATAAGTAGCTAAGTCTGTAAGCATGACTGATTGCGTTAGGCAAGGTTAGGATATTCGTCTAGTCAACGCTCGGCCCAATAGGAAAAGTGCGGGTGGCTTGAGTGGCTGCCGTTGCTTTTAGTCGTGAGAGACACTCAAATTTCATTTTTGATGTGTGTAAGCGCTGCCGGAAGGGATTTTCAAGATCCGTTAAGATAATAAGCCTGAAAATCAATTATGTACGACTCCGAATATCAGCCCAAATGTTATTAGAGTGATAACACCAGTGATAAACACAATCGACCAAACGACCATTCCTGCGACTGGAAACTTCCCATTAATCAGTACGTTCTGCATCTCAAAGAATCTGGCAACAGCTGTGGGCAAGACAGACTTAGTGAATCAACAATACTGGAAGGAAAGCAGATAATCACCAGAAAGCATTATACCTAGGCCAAGCACACCGATGGACACGCTCGTGACCTTTACGGGATGCAGCAGGGCTTCGGAAACGACAACATCTGAATCGAATACCAGTTGTACAAGAGCTTGTTGACAGCTTTGAGTAATAAAATCAAGAGTATCATAGGAAAATTAGCCGCACCAACGCCAATAGCGGCACAAGTCAACGATGTGCGGACATACGACAGGTAAGTGCGCTCGCAGGCCAGGTGATCACGCGCAACACTTCCAGTATTTTCGAGGATAGATACCGAAGAAAAGGCCTGTAGCCAGGCGAGAGGACTCATACGTATACGACTTTTTCGAGTCGACGCGGATGGTGTGACAAGTAAACATGCTCGTTCTCGCGGTTCCACAGATTCATTGTACGACCTAGCCTTATCATTACGCCTTTGAGTATCCATTATGCCGATTCCAACCGACAAGCGAGTTCCTTTGTTTTGCTCGAGCTTGTCGGTGAGATAGTTTCGGGGAACGTGTTCGCGACGAGTCTCGCTTCGAGCATCCTTATACAGAGTTCAATAGGCATCTTTTATAAGCTCCGCCTTAGTATGTAGAACGACTATTGCGTAAAAGAATTGCTGTCGCTTCGGAAGAAGGTAAATGGGTGGGCGAGAGGAAAGTAGACGCGAAGCTCGGAGCCTCGGAGCTTGAGCTCCAAGCAACACGTGATGCTAATCTTTGCTGATAATCTAATAGTTTTGAACGTTACCATTGGTGATGCAAATATTGTAGGTGGAGAACACTATAATGACCGGGTTTCAATAGCCCATAGTCATTCAGCGAGGACATAATGCTTGGCCCCCCGCGCACCAATACATATTCGTTAAATACAAGGGAAAAATAAGACTTATTTACTGAATTAAGATACATGAATAAATAATCCCAGTCCGGAACAAATAAATACATAAGATAATGATGAAATGCTTGGACTCCAAGCGAGGAATAATCACTATTGCTACATCACAGTTTCAATTATAACAGTCGTAGAATATGCTGCAGTCGATTTGTTCAAATTTAGGCGGCACTGTTCATCTCAGACCCATGACCTCCACCTTCTTGTTGCCGACCGGAAAGCGTGAACCTATAAATCACCGCAACGCAGCCAACGACAGCCAACGGAAATACAATACTAACAGTCATAGCAGTCCCAAGAGGCAGGCCCATTTCTGCCCAACCAAATGTCATGACAGCAATAGCCATGCAGACAAGGGCATCGAACATGCACAGTAAGGAAATGAGGAGTAAGCCGATAACGAACTGGAACTCGTTAGATGGGAGTGCTTTGACTTTAACCATCCAATTCAAGAACGTATCGAGTCGAGACCTTGGTACTACTTGCTCTTCGCTAGATGATTCAGATTCAGACTCAGATGCACTAGAAATAATAAACAAGTCAGCCATCATAAATGAGAATATAGCGGTTACTCTTACCATTGGGTTTCCTGAATTGAGCAGTTCGACAAATTCCTTTTCGAATAGAAGAATCTTTGGATCTTGCCTAGCTTTGACCGGGGATCAGCACTGGCAACGATTTTCTGTATTTCGGGGAGGGAGGTTATGAGCGATGGGGATGCGCCTGCGCCAAGAGCGATAGAAGAGCTAATCGAGAGGAGGACGGAAAGGAAGAGGCACATGGTAATGACTTGGTCCGTGAGCTTTCCTTGCGTATCTTCGGGTCTAGCGACAAAGATATCGTGCATGTACGACAGAAATCCAACACCCAATGTAGCAATAAAGATAGCCTAGTTATTATTAACCTTGTATATGAGCAACCATCTACAAGAATGTTGACTGAGAGTACATACAATGACAGAATAAATAGAGCAAATCTGGGCAAAGGAGTCACGTCGCTGATCGAGGCTTTGGTCCTTGTGCCTCTGTTCTCGTGCATCCTGCTCGTTTTCAAGACATTTTAGGATGCTACGCAGTAGCTCGACAGACTTCTGCTGATCGCTAGAGTCCATATTTGTAGGGAAGTCAAAAGAGCAGTTTTGGTAGATGAGCTCGATGGTTAGTTTGTGGTGCGTCATCCCAAGGACGGGGATCGATCATCTTATAAAACGAGCATAGAACAAGGATTTCTCCCTTTGTTGGCATTTTTCGTAATAAGATCTGTGTCCCTGAAGACTTGTCCGCGATTCGTTGTCATGGTTGACCACTATTGATGTCTGTGGATACGTATGGCCCTAGTCAAATTCGGAAAGCGTGGTCAAAGAGAGCAGGCGAGTGCATTTTCGCTTCCTTGGTCTCATGAACTGTCAAACCAATGGCGACGGAGCAGTCCTTCTCTGGATGACCCTGAGCGAATACTAAAGACCCGACCGAGGATGCAGAAGAGAACAATGAGCAATGCAGTAGCGGAGAGGTGATAATATTTCAAATTGCAGAATTTGAAGTACAGTACGTCCATGCGGGTGATATAGACAAAGTTGCGGTGCATTTCTTAAGATGTATGCAGCGAAGGCATCGCAGACAGGTACGCGAGATGATGGTGGTTACATATCAAGACATGATTCCCAAAATAGCGTTAGCTTGCCGAATAAGGTAAGCCATTATTGAATTTCTCTGTCAGACTGCCTGATTATCAACAAGCAGGGGATGTTTATGTACTCTACTGTCTTAGCTGCCATTGTCGCATGAGTAAGGCGAGGGCATTGGACGTCCCGAGTACCTTTTTCCCTGGCATATTCAGTCTGAAACGGTTGAGTTTATTACACAGCAATACATTTAACACATCATGGAATAAATACATGGGCAAAAGTAATCTGTAGAAACTAACGTCCCTGCGAAGTACATGGTATATATTATGTGTAGCTAACACTAAACAGGACTGATGGTGAATGACTCTCCAGGAGACGGAGTCACCGGTACACTAGTTCCATGTCCTTTAATCTCCCTAGAACGGCGACGGAGAGTACATTTGTATACAATGACAACAAGCATGACAACCGCAAATGGGAAAATACAGCTAACACTAACTGCAGTTGCAACAGGATGTCCCAACTCGGCCCATGCGAAGGTGATAATGGCTGTACCCAAACAGAAGAGGGAAAAAGCCATACAGACAAGTGCAACGAGGAGCATGGTGGTGACGAATTGGAACTCGAATTCGTTTGGCTTAGGGCCAGCTGTTGATAACTTCCAACGACGAACGGAGATGAAAAGGCTTCTGAGCATGTCCCAGCCACGACGTTGTCGAGCACGGCCAGCGGGTATAGAATACCTTACAACAGATGCATTGCAAGGCATCTAGTTAGTCGTTTCGGAGAAATGTCAGATAGTTCAGTCGCTTACATTGGAAAGTTCTGAGCGTGGTGACCCCATGAATCGTACCACCAGAGTAGCTTCCTGGTAAAACATTGCGGGAAGCCTACAGCATCCAATGCACCGAGGAGTTCGCGAATGGTTTCGTGCTTAGAGCTTGGTATACTCAGGAGAAGCGTTGGGGACGAACCCGCACCAAGGGCGATAGACGAGCTAATCGAAAGGAGGACCGAAAGAAGGAGACACATGATAACGACGCGATCTGTAGTCTTGGCTGGCGTGCCTTCGGGTCTGTCGACGAACGTATCATGCATATATGTCAAGAAGCCAACGCCCAGCGTGGCGATGAAAATTGCCTGGAAAAAGGGAGTCGTAAATAAACAGCAGAGAAAACCGAATTGAAACATGTACAATTACTGCATATATTGAGCAAATCTGAGCAAATGAATCGCGACGTCGATCGACTTTCTGATCCTCACGCCATTTCTTTTTCACCAAATATTCTTGCCTAAGACATTCACGGATGTCCTGTAGTGGATCAGGGGCTTCAGTTACTTCCATGTGTAGAGAAATGTGTGGGAGAGCTTGATGGACATTGTATGCAGTTTGAACTTGTCTTTAAATGCTCCAGTGGAACAATACCATCCAATCCTGGCTAGCGTAGCTGTCCGTGGGGTTCTACTGAGGTGGTCACCACCCCACCAGCGGCTCAAACAGGGGTGGACTGTTGTTTGACAAGGGAATTTGACAAACAGGCGTAACAACTACGCCTTTCAGCTCCTAGGTTTCGCAGCTTGTCAGGCCAATGCCCAAGGGATTGCCGTTGTCAACGTGCAGTTAGCCTACATAAGGAAAGCCAGTGAAGGGTCCTAGGAGTAATGCGCGAGAGCATCGTTGAGCAATGATAAATTTCAAATAGAGGAATAGAAGTGCTGCCATGTAGACAAGACAGCCCATATCCTTGTGTTTATTGACATGTCAAGACAACAAGCAGAGACGCTGGCAAGGTTGATGCGAGTAACCAAGGACCAAGGGAAGCAGAATCGCGTATGGCGAATATTTTTAAAACGACGCGAAAATGATTCGCGTTTTTCCATACATAGAAATATATTCCCATGATGTTTAAACCGCGCCGCAAACCTGCAGTCTTCGATGTTCGCTCAACGCTCACACCGCCGCTGCTCTGTCCTCCTCTCTGACAATGCCACAGCCTTCGCTCACACTCAAACAGAGGCTTGCAAACCTCTCTCAGGCTGCGTCTGGATCGTCTTCTTCACCTGCGACTGCGGGTCAGAAACCTGCACTGCGTTCCGTGAACTTCGGGGCAATTGGATCTGCATTTGCAAGACGGAGGGCAAGCTTCAACGCGCCATGGTCTACCGCGGGGTCGAAAGCGGCTTCGAGGAATAGTGAATCCAATGGTGATTCGAGAAAAGTTGACGAGGTGCTATCACAAATGATATTCCAAGCCGGAGTTGACTATGAGTTCGTGACCTTGTTCTACTTTCGATTGTGGGCTGTGGCTCCCTATTAACGTGCATCTTACAATGATAGGACACGGCCAATGTGAGTATGCTTCAGTATTCCATACAAATTACAACGTATCTCTAATTTCATATTTCTGTTTGTGATTTACATGTAGGGTCGTCATGAACGCATCTGCTTTCCCAGACCCTCGCACTACTTCATATGATCTGCTGCTCTCGTGAGTGCCGTTTTGCCTTATTCCATTATATGTTTTTATATCAAATTCGCAAATTCTGCCCTATGTTTCGTTAATACCTAACGGGCTCATACTCATACAGTCGTATATTGTCTTACCTCGACCTGTTTGGTAAGTACAATATAAACTATGTTATTTTATGGTACTGAGAAAGATATAGTTGAGAGCGACTACACGATTGTCTTCTTCGCTGCTGGGGGTCATCATACTCCAACTTGGAACTGGGTATGGAAAGCATACCGTAGTCTCAGCCGAAAATACCGCAAAAATTTAAAGCGCTTGGTAAGGATTTGTGCAATAATAATCGTCGGACATTCTTATCAAGGAACTTGATTGCAGTATATCGTGCATTCGTCGTTTTTCTCGAAGAGTAAGGCTATTCAGCTTAGACTAAGGAAGAAGTCTGACGTTGCTAATTTTAGTGCTGTTCTCTCTTGCTGGCGCTATTATTAGCCCTAAATTCTTTCGAAAAATAACATATATTGATACACTGTCATCCCTTGCTTGTCATGTCCCCCTGACTCAGATAGACATCCCGCCTACGGTCTATTCGTACGTATCCTGCATATTTACGCATGAGATCTCGTTAACGCGCTTGGTCTAGGGAGAATCTGAAGCACGAGTCTCAGATTGAACTACCTACACCCACCCATTCACGTATGTTTGGGGTGTCACTGGAAGAACTGATGGGATTCGAAGGTGAAAAGGACGGCTTGCCAAGGGTCGTTAGGGATTGCATACAGTATCTTCAAGAAACGGGTTAGTTCTCTAGTCCGTATCATACGCGGACGAGCTGACGGCACTTTTAGGTCTCGAAGATGAGGGACTGTTTCGGCGTTCACCAAACTCGGTTCAACTTCGACACGTACAAGAAGCGTATAATCGAGGCCAGACTGTATCTTTGCAAAGCTTCGGCGACCCGCACCTCGCTGCGGTTCTTCTGAAGAAATTCCTACGCGATCTACCAGAGCCTGTCTTTCCCGAGAGTTTGTATGATACGATTAAGCGGTGTCCTAATTCACGGGATGACCATGACGACATGTCTGCGGTTCTGTTCATCCGAACGACACTCCTTCCGGAGTTACCACCATGCAAGCTAATTTTACTCAGTAATATCTTATGTACGTTTACGACTCTCCTTGAATTGTTTGTCATTTAATAACGTTGTCTCAGTACTCCTTCACGAGGTTTCTTTGCGGTCGGAGAAGAATCGCATGGATGCACACAATTTGGCTATAGTCCTTACCCCGAATCTCGTAGCTTCTGGCAATCCCCTTAAAGACGTGGCAATTTGCGCTGTGGAAGGTGCTCCTGAGCCACTTTCACCGCGTTCTCGAAGCACAGAGACTCCTTTCGGTGTTGTTGAGGGGACCAAAGGCGCAGGCCGAACAACGCTTGGTACAATCATCAGACTATGTATCCAGCGGTATTTCGAAGTATTTGACGAAGTTGTCGACCGATCAGACGCAGTTGAGGCTGATCCGTTTAGAGTGGGAGAGCCTGAGGAAGTGGACATACCGTCAAGTAGCTCGTCCTCGCCAGAGCTGTCTTCGAGTCCGACAACTACGAAGCGCCAGTCACTTTTGCATGATGATGAGAGCATTGACGATACAATGCTAGTCATGCCCGTTGGACCGAATGGGACTGGCAATGGGTCGAGTCCAACGATGCGACGATTTCCTGGTAGCGGTTCAAGGGGACAGCTACCGCGTGAGTGGCCACCAAGGACGGGTGGAAGGAGAGATAGAGACGTCCACTCCTTTACCTCCAGTGAAGACCGACATGGGCGAAGCCCGGGAGGAGGAAGTCTGAGCGGGACGATGAGTAGAACAAAGGCTCGATCACTGTTCGCCCCTGCTACAGATGGAGTGACCATGATGGACCGTCGGGCTGCAGTACCGACAAGTGTGAGTGCGAGCGGAACATTACGCAAAGCGCCAGGAGCAGCTGTTACAGCGCATAGCATTACTGCGTCAGGTTTCTTTACGCCGCCTGAGTCAATGCCTTCCCTTAGCGAGCGGGTAGTCCAGAGTACTCCTCAATCGTCGTCACCGTTACCGCCGCCATTGCACCCTCAGTCTGGGCAGAAGAGGAATGGATGATTCATCGCAATATTTTCTTCTTTACCCTCTTTGATATTTATGGATCATTGTGTCGTTTGGACGAATTGAGGGTTGTGTTCGTCGTTTTGATGTCCAATTTGTTCCCCGTATACCGAGAACGTCCTGCCATTTACCTGCGACAACTTGATGTTTCCAGACGCGTAGGTGTTTATTCCTCCTACGTCAAGACGATCAACCTGTCCCTAGGTGCCACCAAGGCACCATCATGATCGGCTACCCTGATTCCGATTTGCCGTCCCCGTTTATTCTTCTGCATTTTTGTAGCCTGGTATTTATATCCTTTCGTTCCGCATTACAAAGTCAGACCAAATTGTTCCTTATTTTCGTCAAACGTATCATGTAAGTGGAACAGTCGACTTCTTGCTTATGATTCGTTGATACTTGGTTTAGTACATTTGCCATGTTTACTCTGGTCCATATCTATCAGATAGTTTCTGTTTGTATTCCTTGCCACTTTCATAAGCGTCACGGCGAAGTGGATCATGGTCAAATTCACGCAGTGGAACTTCTTCCCCAGCTCAAGGCACACCTCTTGATCGGGCTTCCCCTCTTCATGTCTTACCACGAATCTGTTATAAATCATCGGAGATTGCTTTTAATTTGATCAAAAATGATCTGCGGGAGCACTCGCGTAACGCAACCCTGAAAAAAACATATGAATTGATTCCTCGGCTGACATTCAAATCTAGGACTTCCATGCTACGATGGAACCGTCCTTTACTGAGATTGCACGCGAAAGTATCATTGTGGTTTCCTACAGCTCATTGTGCATATCTCACAGATTATTTTCGAATGGCCAGTCAGCATAGGCAATCTTGCCACCTGGAATGGATAATCAAACTGTTCAGTCATGACCAATCAACATAACATCACCTTCGGAGATGCCCAAATGGGAATTTGCATGTCGGCTAGGCTTGTTTTCTACTCGCTTAATGTATTCTATTGACTTTCGTGCGTCCCTGCCGAAGGCAAGGTTTCGCTCGTGACGATGAAACCTGCGCCGTGACGGTATGGGCGCCAGTGGCCTCAATAAATGCTTGCAAAGTCGCTCCCCTTTACCCCCTTCAACGATCTCCGTGATCTATTTTCAGACTTGCGTTAGGTGTATCCACCTTTCCCCCTTCCGCTCCTTAATCACATTATTTAACCTATCTTCACTCATTTGCGTGAAGTGGAACTGACAGGTGTAGCCGCCACAAAGGGCTCTCAAACTCGATAATTTTCATCTCCCAAAACTTTTTTTAACAATACCACTCGCTCTTTTGTCAACCATGTTATCCTCAATTCCCTTAGCTGTGGCAGCAGTTTGCTCCGTATTCGTTGCCAATGCACTCCCTACGTTGCAGGTTCGCGATGACCTATCCGTTCAGGTTGATCTCTTCAACTCGAAGGCTCGATTGGCGGACGCTATCAAGGGTGCTATGTTTGGATCCATACGTACAAGGTACATTTCTATCTCCGTTTTCTTATAAGATGCAGGTACTGATACAAAAATTGTGCACTTATAATAGCTGGGAGCAAGGTACTGCTGCAGCCGGCGTCTTGGAGATCGAAAATCCGGAGTACTCGGTCTTCGCGGAAAATCCCTTCTCGGTGAAGGGCCTACCAGTTGGCGCATTGCGCCTTGCCCTGAGTGCCGCGGTCCGTCAGGGTCCGGATGGACGTCTCAGTCAAAACATTAATGATGGTTTGGATGGTGCCGCACTTGACGGGGCATCCGCTGGGCCGTTTACTCTCCTTGGTACGTTATCATTTCGTGAATCGTATGTCGTCCCTGACATTAATGCGGACGGACGTCAGGCGCCATGACGGAGCCAAGCAGAGCGAAGTACTTCCAGAATGCCACCGATAGACAGTTAAACTATGTGAGCCTCATAATCGTTCGTTGACTGAACTAGCCGCCTAAGTAGCATACTGTCAGCTCCTTAACATCGCTCCGAAAACAAAAACTGGTGCAATTTCCATGCGTAACGACTCTAGAGCCTACTGGTGAATAATACTGATTTATCTCATTTTCCCTCTTCACTCACGCAAATCAACAGGGATGACGGCGTCTTCATGGCTCCCCCGTTCCTTGCTTACTATGGTGCCGTTACCAAGAAGCAGGAGCTCCTTCAAATGGCCTTTGACAATGTACGGCTTTATCGTGATGCACTCTTAATCGATGGCCCGACTGGCAAGCTTTGGGGACATATATTCAGTGAGGATGATGGAACCTGGTGGGATAAGGGTATCTGGGCAACTGGTAATGCTTGGGCAGCGCTTGGTATCATTCGCGTACAGTCCACAATAATGAAGAGTGCATTCGCGGACGACATGAAGAACCAGACGGATCAGCTCCAAAGTTGGGTGAAGGAGATCTTGGATGGCACATTTGCTGCTATTGTCAGTGATATTTGCTATCCTTTCGACCTTGAATTGATGTGAATTATTTAAAAGGGCGACGACAATCTCATCCCGAACTACATTGACAGCAACAGCACTTTCGGCGATTGTGCCAGTTCTGCTGCACTCGCCTCAGTTGCTTACCGCGCTGCAGTGATCGATCCTAAAACTTTCGGCTGGAACTACACAAAAGCGGCGAACCGGCTGACGAAAGCCGTCTTGGATGGTGTAGACGAACTCGGTATCATCTCGCCGTACGTGAACCCGTTAAGTTGGAACGAGATTGGCATACTGTCAACTGAAGGCCAGTCGTTTGCATTGATGATGATTGCTGCATGGCGCGAGTGGCTCAACTCAAATGGCCTGAGTGTCAGCATTAATATTTAATTCATCGATACTCTTTTTACTGGCGATTTCCGTTGATCCCGGTGTCTTGTCCTTAATATTCGGATCTCCCCAATCGCCTTGCACATTGCTATGCCATTAGTTTCGAACATATCATACCATCATTGCTTGCTTCCTCAGGCACTACTTATTTCGCATTTTGTCGCATTTTGGGATATAGTACGCGTTTTGCATACTCCCGCGCCACTCGTTAGCCAGCACGATCCTATACCAAAGTCATCTAGAGAGAAATCTCGCATTCACGGCCACATTTCTTAATTTTATTTAGCATCGAAGGAATGGTACTTGATTATGCTTAATCGGAAAGGTTTGATTTTCACATAGTGCATCTGCGCATATGTATTTATTCGTTTGGATCATAATTTTATCTCCCGTGCAATGGGTGTAAATAAAATCGTATTTCCATACATTTATTTCTTAAACCAAGAACAAACAAGCTTGCAAGCAGTATCAACTGCAATACAGAAGTTAAAGAACAGCATACAGAACAATACACAATCCATTTGGAATTTGAACATAAATAATTCTTCTCTTCTAAGAGCAGGGTGCTAATTAGGTCATCGAAAATTGCTGCTTGGTAAGGTGCCAAAATTGCACACCTGCTCCTATCTTTGAGGCAATCATTGCTCCATGTAAGCAACCAACCGCATGCAAAGCCAACTGTTGCTGCCTACTGGGTATCAGGTTCGTCCTTTGGCTTCGGCTCGTTTGAGGTATTCTTTGCAGCGGCATTTGAGTCGGGATTGAATATGACATCGACATTCACGACTAAGTTGTGTGTTACATGTCCCGACTGAAGTCTGTTCGTCACACTATTTCGGCGAGAAAAGTGATAATTAGGTCTAGAATGATTCATATGACCTTTGTAAGTTCTTACCAGTTAAAGCGCACGTCGGCACGATGTGCTCCAGACGGCACTTGAATTACTCCAAGCCCTAGAGGGAGTGGGACTGTTGGTGTGCCTAGAATAGGCAGGAGTAAAATTAATAATGTTTATATTTCTGTAGACTCGAGAACCTACCATTTAGATTTGTGTTCACACTCGGAGTAGACCTTGCTTTACAGCCATCAGTGATACTGAGTGGTCTCAGTTTTGCTGGCACTCCTTGTGCGCGCCTTGCCTGACGAGCACGCAAAAACTCCAAAAAGTCTTGGAGAAGCTGTGGAGGGAATGGTCTAGACTTTCTGGATAGGATAAACTGGTAGTTAGTTTCACTTCTATTCCTCCTTTGAAACATATAGACAAATTAATAAATCAACTGACCTCGCCTCGTGCTTTGTGTATCCGCAGCAGGCATGGCTAATTTGGCTCCTTTGGTACCTGCGAACCATTTCAGTGCTGTAGGTAATATGTTGAGCAAATGTGTCTGAGTGTCTGAGACTCTGAGGACTTCTGATAGTTCTCATTTCTGCAGCAGATGTTTTATAAGTGTTTTAAATTCTTAATACAAACTTTGAACAGAACAGCTTTGCTGTTCTACCTGTGAAAACTAGTAAGAGAACCAAGTGTTTCGATTTCATCATCAGTACAGATCAAAAACCTTTCCCGAAATTCTTCCCAAAAAAGGCAGTAGACTTAAATAATTTGAAACAAAAACCATGTGAGTCATAATAAACTAAATTCTAGTCACGTGATTAGAAGCTTTTCTGGGAGGCGAGTGAAATAATCAATTTTTGCACAGCTAGGAGCAGCAAGGCTATATTATCTTGGAGCACTCTAGAATATTCCTCTGAAACAGATTAATGCACGGCATCACAGTATTATGACTGATTAACTTTATATGTTGATTGCCTTTAATGTTAGCACTGTGCCACTGTCTCAGTGAGTCAGCAGTAGTAAACAAAAGAGAATGACATTTACCATGCTTAGCTACAGTCCCTTTGCACAATGAATTATTTGACTAGACAAAACCTCAGGTATCCTAGAAAGTGTTTTCCATAACTGTCTAACAGAGACTATATCTAATTAAAAGGATAATAGTTTGCTATCACTTGAACAGATTAGATCTCAACTAAAGCCTTAGATACTGACATTTTGTAGGCACTACCATCAGATATGTAATGATATGTTGCACAAGTAACTCTGATCATCAATAATTGGATAATCAATTTAGATTCAATAGTTTTGGGTCATTGTTCCTCAAAATGATCCTTTCCTTGCTTTAGTCTTCTGCTTACACTGCTCATACTGGATCAGTTCATAACATTAGAAGCTGAGCAGGCAAGACACTCTGAAAATTTATCCACATGCAGAGAAAATAACAAGATGTGCAGAGAACATGATCAGAGGACAGTAACCATCTCAAAACAATGGGCCTAGATACATAGACACTGTTGAGTGTTCTGGAGTTTCTTTCCTCAGCCAGGTAGTCAGAGGGAAATAGTAAAGCCGATATGTAATATCTCTGAGTCATTTTCACTTCTAGGCACTGGTTTCGGTACTAGAAGGCCTACTGCCGCCTACAGCACTTGGATTCTAGATGAAATCCCGGTGAAATCGGGAAACGTTGAAACCATACAATGGGCTTAGGAACAATGCAAAACTATGTGTAGCAAGAAGCACGGACGTATTCTTTGTCCGAAGCATATTGTCTGATAATGTCTGCTCCGAATGGCAAGATAATAGTACCTGACCTCGACCTGAGGCGAGATTCACGGGTCAATGCAAAGGCGCACTGTTACTCGTAAAAGTTCATCGGACCGTACAAATTCGAATACCCTGCATGTACCTAGTCTTGACGAATAGACATCGCCTATCTTACAGGACAGCAAATATGAGTGCTAGATTTGAAATCTAGCTTGTACAAGGACACAAGTCTGGACTGGACGAACAGCCTGACATATCGCCTTGTCGAATGTGCAGCCGACATCAATAAAGTACACGAAATCATCTTCACAGCGGACGAGTATGTGTAAGGCGAGAGTCGACACAGCACAAAATAGGAGTTAACAATATAGGAGCAATGAAAGCCTAAGCCACGAAAGACGTTTCCCAAACTCCATCAATAATTCTTTTATTTTCCAAATGCGTCGTGAAGACTGAGTACCCACTATAGAACGTTTTCGCCGGTGGTAGCAGTGCTTGAGATATCAGCGTCAGAGTCATGGCAGGCGACTGAGTGCGGTACCGAGCCTGTCCTGCTAGCCTCGGTAACAAACTCAGAAAGATGAGGAAGACGGCGAAAGATGGAGTGTTGCTGTTTAAGCGCCCACAGGACAGAGAACCAAACACTACGACAATAAACCAGAACAGCAACTTGGAAGACAAGCAAAGAAAGAGCCGACGCAGTAATATCGCCCGCGAGCGTTTAATAGGTGCTGAATGTTAGGCGCTTTGGTACATTGGTTGCAAATTTGCCAGCATGTTTCTCTTGAATGAACATGGCGGCTGTTCGGCGTTAAGCGACACGTGTTAATCCTAAGTCACAAACATAGAAAAGACACGCACCACAAATAAGCTAGACAGACCTGAACAAGGCGATTGCGTTGAACGAACAAACCCAGATACCAGTCAAACAAACGAACAGATAAAGATGAAAATAGAGCAAGCAATTTTAGCCAGTAGAAGTAACAAATAACAATACACAATACACAGAATTGAGCCGCGTTATGAAATTGCAATAATGAAGGTCGCGAAATCGTAAGTAGAGTACAACTGTGAATATACAACTAGAAGATCGTAAGGCGTCATGGTCGCTCGTCATCCCGATGGAGAGGTGGAAGCGGGTGAGAAGGTGCAGACGTGGACATACGCGTAGGTGACGTGTCGGGATGGCCGATTAAGGGAAGAAGACGCTGCTGTGCAAGAAGAGGAGTTCGTTCGTTCGATGTGCTAGGCGATGCAGGTTCTGAGTTTACCGGCTCAGTAGGAAGGGGTTCGAGATGATGATATGGGTGTGAAGGTTGAGTTACGTCCGCTTTGCACACAGGACACTGTGAAAATGGAGCAGGTCAGTAAACCCAGTGTCATGATTGAGTAGGAAGCATCACAAACCAGCTTCTTTCGATGAATGAGCCACTCATCCACTTCGTCGAGGTGGAAAATATGCTTGCAAGGTAAAACGCGTACACGATCTCCCTTAGCAAAATCATTCAGGCATATTGCACATTCCGTCTGTGCATCGAACCAGGGCGGGTTGACAGACTCAGTTTCCGCGCCTTCGTCGTCCCGAGATGTAGATGGTGGACATTGCCCCTGTTGGCCGGCCAGTTCTAGTATTGTGTCCAAATCACCTCCACATTCCAAATCCGTATCTGCGCTTAATTTGGCAGAGGGAACCGGACCTTCGTGTTTCTCCCAGCCCGATCCGGTCCACACCCGCCAGGGCAGTCGGTTGACGACGTCCTCCGGCGCGCGCTCCCGTTGTTCGGCACGAGCAGCCCGGATGCGGTGGATGAGCAGGGTAGTGAGGGTCAATGCGGAAGGTAAAAGGAGCAAGACAATGAATGTTAAGATAGGTCTAATAAAAGGTTAAATCCCCTTATGTCTTCAGAGTTCAAAAAGAATTGCATACGAATACCACTCCCAAGAGGCGTAGTCTGCGGTTATCTGTAAGGACACAGTTTTAATCCCGGACGTTGATGTGTTGGAGGAAGCAATTAGATTTGATAGACGCGAATAATCGGAGAATTTAATGTAAGTCGAGGGTATCTTCACATCCGAAGAGTCACCTGTAGGGAGAAGCATAAATAGTTCTGAAAGATGGGGAGACAAGAAAAGAGGTTGAAGTCTTCAGAAACGGTCGGAAAGCGACGTACTTTGACTGTACATATTCACAAGTACATCTGGATTACCGGTGACCGCTGGGTCGTCGCCACCGACAATGACGGCTTTTGCACCAAATCGTTGTGCCTCTCGTACCTAATGCATTTCTCAGAATAAAAAATAAATAGAAGGGGTTACTAACATACCTTAGCGACAAAGGAGCAATTACCGCGCTGCACAATTGCGATCCAACTTTCCTCTGGCTCTGGCATATGGTTCCCAGAAGGACAGAGTTTAGGGCAGCCCAAGTTGGGTTCAAGGTTCCATATTGGAATTTTATCGTTTTCTTCTTCGTCGCAGCTCATGGTGAAAGCGTTCATAGGGATACCGTAACCATTAACCGCGTCTTCGATCATGCGACCAAACGAGGCAGGTCGGGAAACGAAGCTGACAGGTGGCGAGCGATCCACGACAGACACTGTGTTATCTGCACCCCATGCCCATCCCCAGAGCCAACTGCTGTCGGCACTTGCAGTGTTGACTCGACGAAACCAGCTTGTTGAAATAGGGCTGTTCCCGGAATAAGCATAGACAGGAGGCGTGATATTATCGGTCGTTGCGGTGAAGAAGACAGCCATGACGAATGGTAGCCTGCATAGTCTCCATCGTCTGGAGATGGCGGTGGCCATGAAGCAAAGAGAGATCGATGCACTTCGAGTCGGTGGACTCCGGGTCCCGTAAATCTGACTCTGGTGTCACTTTAGTCCGCCAAGGTGAAGGTCCATGGTCATGCGACGAAAATCCTGGCACGTGATGCAGTCCTAATAAATTATGTAACCCATTCATTTAGATTTTTCATTTCCTTCCCATTCAATCTCCTTAATCCTCACAGAGTCGAAAGGAATGGGAAACAAAACGTCTCCCTCGTACACGCAGTCTTTGATAGTGAGGACAGATACTTTACTAAATAAACGGGCTAGGTTTGATACATCGACAGGCGGGAGGCGTTGCAGGCACCTCCGTCGACTTGCTCTTCTATCCGATAGATACAGTCAAGACACGACTTCAATCTGCGCAAGGATTCATTTCAGCTGGAGGATTTCGAGGAATTTACAAGGGTGTCGGAAGTGTAATCATCGGGAGTGCCCCAGGTGGTATGTCGATGTTTAATATCAAGAGACAATCTTCTCTGAGGTCAAATAACTTAGCTGCCGTCTTTTTCTCGACCTATGATACCCTCAAGCGTATCTCACCATTGCATGAAAAGCATGCGGCTGTGACCCACATGGTCTCAGCATCCGTAGCCGAAGTCGTACGTTCTACCACCTTTCGTGATTTCTTTTTCCTGTGTCAATTTACCTAGACATAGGCTAGGCTGCATGTTTAATCCGCGTACCGACAGAAGTTGTGAAGAGCAGAGCCCAAACTTCGGCGGAAGGCAAAGCTCTGGGTTCTTCGCTCACAGCCGCACGATACATCTTAGTGCACGACGGCCTTTCTGGGTATTATCGCGGATTTGGGTCGACCATCATGCGCGAGGTACGAGGTCGTTTCATCATAATCAATCAATCAATTTATTTCGTTGATCGGCGTAGATCCCGTTCACTTCCATCCAATTCCCATTATACGAGTTCTTCAAAATGGAATCTGCTCGTGCGTTAGGTCGAGACTCGTTAGGCGCACATGAAGCCGCCGTGTGCGGCAGCATCGCTGGTGGTATCGCCGCAGCCCTCACAACGCCCCTTGATGTCGTCAAAACTCGAACAATGCTTGATCTTCGAGTATGTTCTCTTCATTTCTCTGGTTAATTGCGTTTAAAGGTGACCACCCGTATTTGCTCTCGTTTCTAGAAAATATCCTCAATGGATACACCATCCTTTTTGGCTCGCTTCAAAGACATTTACGTGAAAGAGGGTATTAAGGCGCTATTCGCCGGTGTTGTGCCTCGGACACTTTGGATCTCAGCAGGTGGCGCTGTCTTCCTTGGAGCGTACGAATGGACTGTACAGAGCCTAATGGACGTAAACGGACGTTTACACAAATGAACCTATACATTCTATCTACACCCTCTTTAATAATAATACAGCATTTCATAGACTAATAGAGGGAAAATGTTTTTGCTCTGCTTAACTCGGATTTATCGCACTTACTGCAACCCCGAATTGCAAGAATAGAACGAGACTCGCAAAAAGCTTTTATGAAAGGTCAGCAGACATGTATTCGGTTGGCAAAATCCGGTCAACAGGACATCACTGCCAGCGGATATTCGTAACTGAGGCACTGTGAACAGCCACATACCATTATGAGTAAGTCAGGCGTCTCATGTCCTGAGATTATTGGCATGGCTAACTCTACAAATGAGAAAGATTTGCTATGTGTGCCTGAAAATGGCATTTCTGCACAGGGATAAACAAATGATGCTTGAGGACAGAGTAAAAGCTTCTATCTGTGATATAGAGCGTGGTATCAGTGCAAGGCGAGTATGTGGGCTATATGCATCATAAGAAGACTGGCACTGCCTTGTGACCGCAGTTATGCAGGCCAAACGCATTGATAGCAAGAATGCCTTCAAATGGGCCAAAGCAGCTGCTACAAGATGATTTTACCTGTCTCAATAATTAGTGAATGATAAATTATTCTTGAATACTTAGGCAGCTGTTGAAGAGAAGCCAGACTTGCCATTCACTTATTCCTTGGCAAATCGTCTAAGCATTGACGTGAGAGATCCTTGCTTACGTTAGATTTGGACGATGTCCTAAGTCCTTAGCCTGTGGCGATGGTCGTCCATCATCACAGCCTTTGAACGTGTTCCGAGCGTGTACAGCATAGTATATAGGATCATACACCATTGTCATTCCCTTTCCTTCTCTTCTCTCTTATTCTCTATTACTTGTCCAACCAATTTCTACTTCACCTCTCTGAACTATTAAACACAATAATTGTATGTCCATGTCCTATCGACATTGGAAAAGAATAACCTCTCAATAAAGATTGTATAGATCCATTTGCACTGCAAAGCATCTCAACACACTCCTGGCACCAACACTACGTCGTTTAGGTAATCCTATATACTATGCAAAAGCCAATGCTCAGGCATGGGGCGATTAAGGTCTTGCAGAAGCCTTCTGGTAGGTCTAATTGCAGTCACTTTAATTTTTGTTTCAAATAAAATAAAAATATAGGTTGGAAGAAGGATAAGGCTCTCTGGTACTCGAGACTCGCAGCAATTCGGCGTCGCAACCGCCTGTTACACTCGTCATACCGTATTCGCTGTTCGCAAGCAAAATCTCGGGCATATCAGAACTTGGCCTACAAATGCTGGGAACACTTCCAGGCATGTGGGAAACGGGAAGAATTGGACGAGACTATCGCCCTTCAACGCTCTGCGCTATGCTTTCTCCCAGACGGGCATTGTGATTTTTCAGATGAGCTGCATCGCCTCGCGCTTTATCTAGGCAAACGATATGACCGATGGCGGAGGATGGAGGACTTGGAGGAAGCCATTGCGCTGGACCGTGCTGCTCTGACTCTTCGTCCTGAGGGCCATCCGGATCGATCTCTTTCATTGGAGAACCTAGCACTTTCTCTGTACAACAGGTATAAGCAAAGCAGACGGTCAGAGGACCTCGAAGAATCAATCGAACTGTGTCGTGCTGCTCTGACTCTTCGTCCTGAGGGTCATCCGGATCGATCTCTTTCATTGGACAATCTAGCACTTTCCCTGCAGGACAGATATCAGCAAGGCAGACAGTCAGAGGATCTCGAAGAATCAATCAAACTATACCGTGCTGCTCTAATTCTTCGTCCTGAGGGCCATCCGGATCGGTATCATTCAATAGAGAATCTAGCATATTCCCTGTACGACAGATATGAGCAAAGTAGACAGGTGGAGGACCTCGAAGAGGTGATCATACTGCACCGTGCTGCTCTGATTTTTCGTCCTGAGGGTCATCCAGATCGATCTCTTTCAATGGAGCATCTGGCAATTTCCCTGCAGGACAGATATCAGCAAAACAGACAGTTGGAGGATCTCGAAGAATCGATCGAACTGCACCGTGCTACGCTGACTCTTCTTCCTGAGGGCCACCTAGATCGGTCTCATTCATTGGGCAGTCTAGCAAATTCCCTGTTCAACAGATATGAGCAAAGCGGACGATCGGAGGACCTTGAAGAATTGATCGAACTGTACCGCGCTACGCTGATTCTTCAGCCTGAGGGCCACCCGGATCGGTCTCATTCATTGAGCAGTCTAGCAGGTTTCCTGCATGACAGACACAAGCATGGTGGTCAATCCATGGATCTTGAGGAAGCAGTCAAAATGTTCCGTGCTGCTCTGCCTCTTCTTCCCGAAAGTCATCCGGATCGATCTCAATCACTGAACGGTCTAGCAAATTCCCTGGACACTAGATACAAGCAAAGTGGTCGGTCCGAGGATCTTGAAGAAGCGATCGAAATGCATCGTGCTGCCCTGCTGCTTCGCCCTGAGGGTCACCCAGATCGGTTTAATTCATTAGGCGATCTAGCAGTATCCTTGTACTATAGATACAGACAAACCAATCGGCCAGAGGACCTTGAAGAAATGATTGAACTGGAGCGTGCTGCTTTGTTCCTTTGCACTGAGGGTCATCCTAACCAGTGGGTTTCATTGACCAATCTGGCATCGTATCTGGGAACCAGATACCAGCGAGACGGACGGTCAGAGGACATTGAGGAATCGATCCAACTGCACCGACATGCTCTGACTCTTAATCTTGAGGATCATCCGGGTCGGCCTTACTCATTGGCCAATCTAGCAACTGCCTTGCGTGCTAGATTCAAACGAAGCAAACAGCCGGAAGACATTGAAGAATCGATCAAAATGAGCCGCACTGCTCTGACTCTTCTCTCCGAGGGTGATCAAATTCTGTCTCATTCACTGGACAATCTCGCACGTTCCCTGTACGAGAGATACACGTACAGCCCTCAATTAGACACCCTCGAAGAATCGATCGGGTTGCACCATGCAGCTCTCAATCTCTGTCACGAAGGTCATCCGGAACATGCATACTCGTTACACAGGCTCACGCATCCGTTGTTCTCTCTATTCGAAAAGCTCGGAGATAAGGACAATTTTGAGGAGTGTATGCGATTGCTAGAAGAGGCAGCGGGTCATGCATTCTCCAGTTCATTGGATCGTCTGGAGGCCGCGCAACGATGGACATATCTCGCACGATCACATGATCACCATACTGCTCTTCAAGCGTACACTCAAGCAATTTCGCTCTTGCAACGAACTCTTATTGTCAATCCTACTCTTCACGCGCGACATGACTTTCTTGTTAGAAACAATGAATTTAGATCTTTTGCCTCAGCAGCTGCCTCATATGCCATAGAGAAGAACAAACCTGGCCAGGCCGTCGAACTGTTGGAGCAGGGAAGGGCGTTGCTTTGGTCACAGATGCGTGGATTCAGGACTCCTCTTGACCAGCTTGCAGAAGTAAATAAAGAGCTCGTCGACAGCTTTCGATCCGTTAGTCGTCAACTGGAGGATCTCGCAACATCTTCTGAGACCCCACACGCCAGCTTTATTGTTTCCTTTTCGCAAAACGTACGAGCTGGAGAGAAAGACTTCGACAAATTGTTGGTACGTCAGCGCAAGCTCACGGAAGAGCAGGAGAGGCTGGTAGAGAGGATACGACGAATACCCGGATTTGAAAATTTCCTCATGGGTGTGCCATTCAAAACGCTGCGACTTTCGGCTTCAGAGGGTCCCGTCATCGTGGTAAATCATTGCGAATATCGATCCGATGCTCTCATTGTTCTCTCCCAGGAGGATTGTCCGACTGTCTGTGTTCCGATGGACTCGAATTTCTATCGTGATAGTACTGATTTGTGCAAGAACCTCCTAGAAACACGCAAAAACTATGGGGCTGACTCGTTGGAATATGATAGGATCCTCCGTCACACGATGGAGGTGTTGTGGAACAGAATGGTTTCTAAAGTTGTCAACAAGCTCAAGGAGCTCGGGATTGCAGAAGGATCACGTATTTGGTGGTGTCCGACATCTGTGCTAACTTCACTTCCCTTCCATGCTGCAGGTCCGTTCAAGGATGCAGACGGTAATACAAAGTATCTGCTGGACATATACGTCTCGTCATATACTCCGACACTCGGAGCGCTCATTAAGGCACGATCAGGTGACAATTTTGAAGAACCAACAGTGCTTGTTATCGGGGATGACTCACTTTCTTCGGCTAGAGGGGAAATTCGTAACATCCGAAATTGTGGCATAAGCACTAATCTACTCCTCAAGACAGCATCTCGTGGTGCAGTGATTAGAGCACTTAGGAAAACAGCATGGGTCCACTTTGTTTGCCACGGGAACTTAGATTCAAAGCCTTTCGAGTCTTCCTTCAAACTCCCTGTTCTCGAGCAGGGCCTGGAGCAAGATCGCAGGCAGAACCAGAAGTTGACTTTACTCGATATCATCCAAGCCGATCTTCCAAACGCAGAGTTCGCATACCTTTCTGCCTGTCACACTGCCGAACAACCTCATGATAGCGCGCATGATGAAGTACTTCACCTGGCTGCAGCAATGCAGTTCTCTGGGTTCCGGAGTGTCATTGGATCAATGTGGGAGTTCCTTGATAAAGACGGACCCTTTATGGCCAGGACAATTTATGAGCATATGTGGGAGTGTGGTGAGGGTGAGGCGAGGCATAAGCGGGCGGCTGCGGGACTTTGCAAAGCAGCTATAGAGCTGAGAGCGTTACCTGATGTTCAGACTGAGAGATGGGTTAACTTGGTTCACATTGGGGCTTGATGTGCACCTCATAACTTAGGTTATGTACAGAAACACATTTGTTATCATCTTGTATGTTGAAATCTATATGATATACAGTTGCTGTACTGTTTGCCTTGATGATTCAAGGGTCAAAACAAGTTTGGGGTGAACTTTACTGACTTGACCTCCTGAATGAAGTAAAGCAGAAGAATGGATTTATATTAATATAAATAATTAAAATGGCCGTACAGTAGAATGTGCAGTATGTATTTCAGAGTGAACAATGCATGCACCCTACATCTTGCGCATCACTAGAATCCAGTCATCCTCAACATCTCAAACGCGACACGTCAACTCCCCACTAACAATCGCAATCGTCGCCCCAAGGCACCAACCTAACTCCGTATCCTCAATCTTCTTCTCAACTCTCACACCTCTCTCAGCAGGGAACTCATACCCCAATCTCAACAACGCGTGCATGAAAGTTAAATCTAAACACCAATCTGGATGACCTTCGAGTTCTTCTTGCAGTTTGCTTTTCGATGATGAAGGGGAGGAGGAGGAGACGAAGGATGAGCCCCAGGGAGTTTTTGACCACCCTGCAGGGCCTTCGCATACGTTGCGAGCGAGTAAGGCGATGTCGTTTACTGTTAATTGTTCTGCGGGTTGTTCTGAAAAAGAGGTAGGGAAGAAGGGAGCGAGACGGTCGTAGAAATAGGAGGAGAGGAGGATGTCTCCTTTCGCAAAGGTCTCGAGGATGGGGGGTTGGTAGACACCGTTGAAGGAGCATGGTTTGGTTTGGCAAATACTATAAGCTCAATAAGTCAGAGTGAAATACTAAAACAGTAAAATAAGAAGGGGCGACTTACGCGTCCTTAGCCATAACGAGCTCTACAAAGCGATTGCATGCCTCGAACGAACCAATATCCTTTCCGGACATGGAGACCCTTCGCATTCTCCAATCAGGCGTGTTTGAGCTTAATTCGACGATTCGTGACGAGCCCTTGTACAAGCACGGATTCGGAATCGCTTCTTCGGGATCTGGATTTTCTGGCCTAGTGGCCTTGTTCAACGTAGACATGAACTCCACAAGCCAATGTACGCTCTTCCTTGCGTTCAAAAATCCGTATCCGATGTGCGAGTGTTGATATAAGATATGTTTCTTCCCTCCAAGCGATAACTCATACTTGTGTTCTCCATCGACGAAGTGCGTAGCATTTTCAAAGTCAGGTTCGAACACAATTTGAGATAAGCCACGTGCGAGATTGAGAACGGCGTATGAATGTGTGTTGGCTGGTGAATCTGCGCGGATCGTGTTGAGGAGATAGTTGGCTGTGATCCACGTGTAGACGCCCGCATCGCTTCTATCCATAATGACCACGCCATCCTTCTCCACGACAGGAAATGGATACTTTTCTTCTAGTCGGTGACGCACAGCTGAAAGGATTTTAACGCTCTTGTCAGCACCGAGGAGGCGGAACCCAGCAGTGGCTTTGACAGCAACAGGTGTACAGCTTTGTAGAGACTTTGGAACAACAGCAACAGCCTCGTCGAGTAAGAAATCCAAACTCTCCGCTGCACCGAGCGGATCAAGATTGTACATGTACAAGCTCAGTGCTCTTCCGGTCATTTTGAACACTTCGTATTCATACGTTGGTGAAGGGCCACAGTTGTTGAATTTATAAATATGGATGCGCGACCCGGTCGCGCCTGCGTCAATCACGAGTGCGTATTGGACGAGCGGAGCATCCAATTTGTAAGGATGAGTGCAATAAACTGTTTTGAGCGGATCCGGATCTTCAGCTGAAGAGTGGGGAACTGAGCTGGGAATGTCTGCTGTTGGTTTGTGATTTGGCTCGTGATCGTAGAGCTTTTCAGGTGCGGTGACGGTCGTTTCATCATCGTTTGGTGGAGGCGGCCTTGTTGGTCTTCCCCATGCTATTCACTTTTTAAAATACCAATCAAATTGAATGCGTAAAGATAACTTACTCGGAAATTTAATAGTATCAACTATCGACTCTCTTATCTCCCTCGGACCGAGAGCCCACACGAGCCCAATTGCCATACACGACATAATCACGAATTTCTTCCAGCCAAACCGAGCTCGCCTCGGTGTATCATCCACATCGACGCGTTTATATCCGTCACTAGCTTTAACTGTTGGGAGAATGCTGCTCATTGTGAAAGGATGTGTAGTCTGTCTCTGAGTGCACCTGTTTCAGGAGATGAGGTGTCACTTTTTGAATTAGGATTCGGATTTTGAGTATGGGGAAGCTGAAGTAGTAGTGCTGTGGCCAAGAGAGTGCCTTTGAGAGATGGAAGACAAGTGAGTGTTGTGCACAAAAGAGTGATTGCTCATGAAATGGTTGCCAGCATATTAGTATGATGAGACGGTGATGCGAGTGAGCGTGGAAAGCAGACAGTTGATGCATCATTTCAATTGATCTGCCTCTCCTTGTAATAGATTATTAGATACAGTCAAGACTCGACCTCAATCCGCCTAGGGTGTCACGTTTTCGGATGACGACCTGTATTTGTTCTCGTTTCTAGAAATTGTCGTCAACAAACGGACCTTCCCTTTTTGCCCGCTTCAAAGACGCCTACGTGAGGGAGGGCATCAGGGCGCTTTTCGCTTGCGTTGTGCCTCGAACACTTTGCATATCGGCTGGCGGGGTCGTCTTCCTCGAGGCGTACGAACAGACTGTACAGAGCCTGATAGACGTAAACGGATGTTTACATGAATGGGCCTATACGCTCTATCTACCCTTTTATTGCACCATTTTATAGACTAATAGAGTAAAATTTCTTCACTTGGATCAGTTCTCTTACTGCAATCACGAATTGTGGGAAAAGGACGAGACTCACAAAATAGCCTTTATGAAAACAGACAACGGATGAGGTCTTCTTTGTGTGCATAATGGAAATACAGATTGGTTTGTGTATGCAAAATAGTACAGACGTATAGTAACAAATATCTGATCACAGTAAGATACAAACAATTTCATACTTATCAAATTAAGTGCAAGGCTACAAAGTAGACAAGATAAACAAGGACTGATTTAACACAAGCTAAATGTGAGCAGATCTCCAATTAATGTATAACATTACATATGAAGATAACTGTCCTCCTCAATCACATACTACTATACTCTAGTGTTCATACTGTTTGAGACCAGGCACTGTATCTTTATTTCCCATTTAATAACGGTGGAAAATCAATGTTTTCAATTTTAACTATACAAATCACTTAGAGTGTGTATTCAACACGGAAAAAAATCTCATGCTTGGATCTCATCAGGTTAATCCATCAGAATTAAGCAGAAATTAGTAGTAAAGGATGACTTCCAGATTACCAAAAATAATTAAAACAACGGTGATATAATGAAATGTGCAGAATGTATTCCAAAGAACAACAAACAATACGTCTGGTCCGATCCACTTCAACCCAACCTAATGCACCTCAAACCCGACACGTCAACTCCCCACCAACAATCGCAATCGTCGCTCCAAGACACCACCCCAACTCCGTATCCTCAATCTTCTTCTCAACTCTCACACCTCTCTCAGCAGGGAACTCATACCCCAACCTCAACAACGCATGCATGAAAGTCAGATCCAAACACCATTCCGGTCGACCTTCCAATTCTTCTTGTAGTTCACTTTTCTCTGACGAAGAGGAAGAGGAAGAGGAAGAAGGAGGGACGAAGGATGAGCCCCAGGTTGTTTTTGACCACCCTGCTGGGCCTTGGCAGACGTCACGAGCGAGTGAGGCGATGGTGTTTACTGTTAGTTGTTCTTGTAGTTGTTCTGGAAGTGTTGACGGGGGGAAGAAGGGAGCGAGACGGTCGTAGAAGTAGGATAGGAGGAGGACGTTGCCTTTTGCGAAGGTTTCGAGGATCGAGGGTTGGTAGACGCCGTTGAAGGAGCATGGCTTTGTTTGGCAGATACTGCAGGAGCAATAAGTTTGAGTTAGATTGTAATAATGAACTCGAGGGGTCCCAGATGACTTACGCATCCTTGGCCATGACGAGCTCCACCACGCGATTACAAGCTTCAAACGAACCGATATCCTTACCAGCCATAGTAACATTCCGCTTTTCCTCACCACTCGACGTTGCATCCAGTTCGACAATCCGTGACGAACCCTTGTACAAACACGGATTCGGAATTTCCTCTTCTGGATCTGGATGTTCTGCTCCAGGATCCTTGTTGAACGTAGACATGAACTCTACAAGACGGTGTATGCTCTTCCTTGCGCTCATCAATCCATATCCAAGGTACGAATGCTGATATAAGATATGCTTCTTTCCACCGAACGTTAACTCGTATTTATGTTCCCCATCAACGAAGTGTGTAGCATCTTCAAAGTCCGGTTCGAACACGATTTGCGTTGAACCTCCACCGAGATCGAGAACGGCGTATGAATGAGTGTTGGCAGGTGAGTCGGCGCGGATGGTGTTGAGGAGGTAATTGGCAGTGATCCATGCATAGACGCCTTCATCGCTTCCGTCCATAATCACCACGCCGTCCTTCTCCACCACAGCAAACGGATACTTTTCTTCTAATCGGTGGCGCACACTCGCGAGAATTTCGTTACTCTCATCAGCACCGAGAAGACGTAACCCAGCAGTAGCTTTAACAGCAACAGGTGTACAGCTCTGCAAAGATTTGGGTACGACAGCAACAGCTTCGTCCAATAAAATATCCAAACTCTCCGCTGCACCGAGTGGGTCACCTTTGTACGAGCTCAGTCCTGGTTTAGTCATTTTGAATACCTCGTATTCATATGCTGGTGAAGGTCCGCAGTTGTTGAATTTATAAATATGGATACGTGAACCTGTTGAACCTGCATCGATCATGAGTGCGTATTGGACGAGCTTGGCGTCGGGGTCGTATGGGCGTTTGCAGTAGACGGTTTTCAACGGATCTGGATCTTCGGCTGGAGAGTGGGGAGTTGAGGTCGGACGGGAGGAAGAAACTGGCTTGTGGTCGTAGAGGTCTTCAGGTGTTCCGACGGTTTTGTCATCGTTTGGAGGAGGAGGTCGAGTTGGTCGCCCCCATGCTATTCACTAATAAGAACACATAAGAAAGGAAGTATCGAGGTAACTCACTCGGAGACTTAATGGTATCAACAATCGACTCTCTCCTCTCCCTCGGTCCAAAAGCCCATACCAGCCCAATTACGATACACGAAACGATCGCAAACTTCTTCCAGCCGAACCGGACTCTTTTCGGTCTATCGTCCACGTCGACGCGTTTGTATCCGCTATTGGTGGATACTCTAGGGAGGATGCTGCTCATCGTAAAGGGGTATGTAGAAGCAGTAGGAGTAGAAGGAGTAGTAGTTCTTGTTCGTTTGCGTGTGGGACTTGATTCAGGAGATGAGGTGTCACTTTTCGTCGAATTCGACTTTGCCTTATCTTCTGATTTTGATTTTGAGGTGGTGCTGTCGTGACCAAAGGAACGTCTCTGAGAGATAGAAGACGAGTGGGCGTTGTGAGGGTAAGAGCGATTGCTCATGAAATGGTCGCTAGCATGAAGAAGGTACTGCGACCGGAGACCGTGAATGAGCGTGGAAAGCAAGGCGATGCGATGGCCGTGTCAACTTAACTCTGTCTTTTTAGGCATCATTCACTCATCTGTGCTGATGCTCTAAAATGTCTGCTTATACTGATTCAAAGTGTATGGAGGCTCATAGTATTTCGATTTGTTATTTGTAAAACAACCGTAATTGTTTGTGAGTTCTGTGATTTCCTATTCCATTTTACCGGCCTAACGAGCGCGGTGACACAGGCCAAGCGAGGACGCCGAATAGCCTTGCATAGTAACAACAATACAGCGCCCACAAGAACTCAAGGACTTAGGACATCGCCGAAGCACTGATGTTTGTTGCAGCGGCCTATTAGCCTGAATATAAAAGCCACGACGTGAAATGTCCTTAGGCACTAACGATGTTCTCACTATTGAGGGGCCGGCTCTCAAAACATTCACGAGCACTCAATCAACCCGAAGCAAGCTCAAGCACAACTTTCGAGTCAGACGAGGCTCCTCCGGAATGGGCACCCGCTGACGAGCCTTCGCGTGATTTTGGTCTATTTTACGACGCACCGAAACACGAGTACGAAGCAGCTGAGGATTTCTGCGATACCCATCCTCCTAATCCTCCGCGTTTCCTACCCTCAGCAGACGTCGATCGAATTCGTGAGGAGGGGTGTAAAGCGTGGACGCTCGTCCCGCCTTCGTTATCTCGATTTAAGGGTAGTATAAGGGAAGTGAGGAGTAATAGGAAGGGGCAGCCGAAGGTGATTGAGCTGCATACGGAGGCTGGATGTGGAGATTCGTGTGTTATGAGTAACTATCCGATTATGGCTGGGTTGTATGATATCCAAGGGAAGGAGGGTATTTATTATGAGGTTACAATTCTGCAAATGGAGGGACTCGTCGCCATCGGTGAGTAAAGCCTTGAGCATCTGATTCTGCATCCCTTCGGTCTCCCTGAGATGGCTCGCCACATGTACTTACTCGAGCATTCTCATCGCTGTTGAGGTACCGCCTGTCTTCCCTACCCCGAGTACCGTTTCCCCGGCTGGAACCGCCTAAGCGCAGGCCTCCATCTCGATGACTTTCAAAAATTCTTCGAAGACCCAAACGGTGGACGTCCATACGACCCTCGGCTCACATCCATCTCACCGGGTGACACCATCGGATGCGGATATATCTTCAGCACAGGTACAATATTCTTCACCTACAACGGTGAAAGACTAGCAGATGCATTTCGCGGGGTGTATTTACCGCGGACTGCACACGACGTGTATGCTGCGATAGGTGTCGGTGGACCCGGGCCGAGTCGCCTGAGGGTTAATTTTGGTGGAGACGATGAAGAGCATCTATTTCGGTGGCTGCCTGGGAGAGAATGGAGTTGGTTGGTGGACGGACATGTTGGGAGACTCGCAGGGAGTGCTGCGGACGAAGATGAACTGCCCAGTTATTCGAGATACCAGCATTATTAGCATTTATCTAGTGGATTTAAGTGTACTTTTATGTTACATATTTTATTCCTATTCTATGTGTATATTTATTGTAATTCTTGGCACGGATGTACGATATGCATTTGTTTTTACCCTGTGACTTGTGGCTGGTGTCCGAAGCTCCATTCGGCTTAGACTCCGGAACAACAGTCCTTCGCTTCGTGCCACACTCACGATCACATTCATTCTAGATGGCAAACAAATACAGTCCATCTCCCGACGACTCCTGAATGCGTCCAAGCAGTCGACTATCCCCTACTCGCCACTGACAAGCATCTCTCGGGTCCTTGGCCGCAATAATGTCTGGCCAGTTCTCTAGATCCGTCATCTCTCTTGCCAGCTCGGCGACGCACTTGCATAGGAGGGCTGCAGAGCAGCAGGTCAGCTATACCTTCTACTCAATTGATTAGGAGGTTTAATATGCTGATCGGCTTTTCTTTTTACTTTTCTTTTAAAAAAATGGTCTGTAGGGAGGTTTGTTGAGTGGAGTGGACCCGACGCAGTTCACAAGCGCTGATCCCATACGACTATGGATCGTTCAAGTCGGTGAGCATCTTCAATGATGATAGACCAACGAACAACTGCTAATGCTGACACGACTTGCAGGCATCATCGTGTTAACTGCACAGCTCCTTAGCGTCGGGTTAAAGCGCCTCAAAGAACCCAAAGTCATCTCGGAGGTCCTCGGTGGCATCCTGCTTGGTCCAACGGCATTTGGCCGCATCCCAGGCTTCACGCAACACATCTTCCCAGCGGAATCCATCCCCTATCTCTCCCTCGTCGCCAACATCGGTCTCGTTCTCTTTCTTTTTCTCGTCGGGCTCGAAATCGAAACAGCAGTAATCAAGAAAAATGCACGTTACTCGATGCCAATCGCCCTCGCTGGGATGGTGCTTCCATTTGGTCTTGGAGCGGCACTAGCTTTACCAATATACCATCGATATATCAACGAGGATGAGGTTTCGTATACCCATTTCATGCTGTTTACTGGCGTTGCCTTTTCTATCACTGCCTTTCCCGTACTTTGTCGGATCCTCACTGAGCTGAAGCTCATTGATACGACTGTTGGTATCGTGGTCCTTTCTGCGGGCGTTGGGAACGACATCATCGGATGGACCCTTCTTGCGCTCTCTGTTGCACTCGTCAACGCCGCGTCTGGTCTTTCGGCACTTTGGATTTTATTGACGGCAGTGGCATGGACGTTATTCTTGCTTATCCCCGTAAAACGCGCGTTCAAATGGTTCGCCCAGCGTACAGGGTCCATAGAGAACGGCCCGACAATGAGCTTCATGACTGCCACGATCCTTATGACCTTTGCATCCGCGTTTTTCACCGATATTATTGGTGTACATGCTATCTTTGGTGAGAATTAATCTCGTCGTATCTATTAGTAGAACTTCTTTTGATACGCGTGTTTGACCAGGTGGTTTCTTGGCTGGGTTGGTTGTACCCCGTGAAGGTGGGCTGGCGATTTTGTTGACCGAGAAGCTTGAGGATATGGTTTCGATCATCTTCCTTCCTCTAGTAAGCAAGCACGTTGCTACATATCTCCTAATCGTGGATAATTGACCAAGTCTGGTAGTATTTTACGCTTTCTGGACTGTCGACAAATCTAGGTCTGTTGGATGATGGTATTACTTGGGGATACACGATTGCAATTTGTTGTCTTGCGTACTTTGGCAAGTTCGGAGGATGTTCTGTCGCTGCTAAACTTTGCGGATTCAAGTGGAGAGAAGCGAGTACGATTGGGTCTCTCATGAGTTGCAAGGGGTAAGGATTTCCAACACACAAAATGCATTGTTTCGAGACTGAGTATATGCATTCATTCTAGACTTGTTGAGCTTATCGTCCTAAATATCGGTTTAAATGCCGGGATCCTAACTCAGGTATGTGGTATTTTAAACATATGCAGATGTACAAACCGCTTATAACATTATTCGGAGTATAGAGAGTCTTCTCGATGTTTGTCTTTGAGGCGTTAGTCTTGACGTGCCTTACTACGCCTGTCGTTCAAGTTTTATATCCTCCAAGCAGAAGAACACGAGCCGTTGTAGCAGGCCCAGATTACCTAGCGACGGGAGAAGAAAATGGACCAGTGGTTCGTCCGAGTACAGAAAAAGGGGATGACGTATGGAAGACACGATTCACCGTTGTTCTTGATAGCCTCGAACATCTTCCCGGGATGATGGCACTCACGCAACTCATTCACCCTCCTCCTGGCGGATATGATAACGAGAAAGAAAGGGAGAAAGAGGAGGAAGGGTTGGAGAGGAGGGGAAGTTCGTCAGGAAGTTCAATTTCTCGTCGACCTGGAGCAAAGTCGAACGTTGTTATTGACGCTTTAAGGCTTATCGAACTCTCAGATCGTACGTCGGCTGTGATGAAGTCGACTTCGATGGCCGAACATCTCATTCATACGGATCCGTTACTTAACGTATTCAAGACCTTCGGCGAGCTGAACGATCTGAGCATCTCGTCTTCGATTTCGGTTGTCACTTTTAGCGACCTTGCCTCCCGCGTAGCAGACCGTGCTCGAGATCTTGGTTCGCAGCTTGTCTTAGTTCCTTGGCTTCCGCCTTCCGCTCCAATGGCTACAAGTCCTACCGAGGCTCCTCCAACACCCGCAGCTCCCGTAACACCCTTCTTAAACCCGTTCGACATGCTCTTCCGAACGCAAACAAGCGAGAAATCCGCCTCTGTCGTCCACTCCCATTTTATCCGCGCAGTCTTCGCACAATGTCAAACGGACGTCGCGCTGTACGTCGATCGGACTATGCCCTCGTCCTCGGACTATTTTGGTGTAACTCCCACTACGGACGTGCATAGTAATCGATTTGGGAGCAAGCATCATATTTTGCTGCCGTTCTTTGGTGGACCTGATGACCGACTTGCATTGGAGTTTGTGGTGCAGCTGTGTGCGAATCGGAAGATTAGTGCGACTGTTGTGAGGATGACGAAAAGTGAGACTGGGGCGGAGGTTACGAGGACGGGGGAGGAACTTGTGGGGAGGCCCGAGCCTGTGCACTCGCATTCGTTCGTGCATCGTCATGGACATGATCATGGTGGTAATACGACGGGTGAAGAGGATAAGGATGCTGCTGCCGCTGCGGCGAATATTAGGGCGAATGCTGTTACTATTGGATCTGTACGCCTTTGTTCATCGCTTCTTTTTTCACAATGCTAATAACTGTTTTCAATCTGCTGTTTAGATGACTGGAATACCAGATACAGTCTATGGTGCATTCACAACTCAAACGCGCTTACAATCCGAAACGGCTGACAGCCTCGTCTGGGCACGTTACGCCTCTCCTTCACCTACCTCCGAACCCCTCCCAGAACGCGTCACAGACGCACTCCAGCGCGTTTCCTTCCGCGAACAAGTCTCTCCTACACCTCTACACTCACTCATCGACGTAGTGACTTCGCAACTTACGCGAGCGAACTCGCATGGTAGGAGACTTGTTGTTGTGTTGGGGAGGTCGAGGAGGTTAGCTGTGGAAGATCATACGAAGGAGTTGAGGAAGCTGGTTGAGGAGATGCATGGAGGTGGGAGCGTTGGTGGGGAGGTGAGGAAGACAATTGGGGATGTTGCGAGTGCGCTTGTGGTTAGTGGGTGTGATGTTGGGATTGTGGTTATGCAGGCTGCGAATCGGAGTGTGGAGGCGTAGAGTGACGGTAGAGGGTTTACTTTACAGATATACCTTGACTTTGCGATCTTGCGACTTTGCAACGTACATTTCAACATGTACATACATGCCTGCATACATTCATACATTGCGACATGACATGACGATCTTATATATTATATTCTTTGTACACACCTTCTCTGTATCTCTTGTATTGGCATACTACTTTGTATCTGACGTGCATAAAATGTATATCACTGTGGCATTTGTCATTTCCATTGTAAACCTGTACGAGTCGAAGACGTTGATGTATTATTATTGAGAGAGAAAATTTATACTGTACCCATCTGTACAGGCACAACCGTAACACTAACGCTTGAAAAGTTGTGTTGCCTAGAGTAACGCAAACGGAAGGCCTAGGTGGCTTTCTATAAAATTGTTAATAATTATAATACTAGTTAAATGTTAATATTTTCTAATTAACCAAAATAGCCTTTATTTAGAAGTAAAGAGATGGTTTGTACTTTCCTCCTTCAAGTTAGACTTTTCTTCTGCTTCACTCAATAATGGTAATATAAGGCTCATCACCAAATCAAACACGAAAATGTATTGGAATTTACTGCTAAGACATATATTTTTTACATATTGTGGATCCTTATATTTGCTTATAAAGTCTACATGTAAATATATTGCCTTGTCAGACTCTGTACGTTTTGGTGATACCTATTTATAAATTACTAAGCAGCAAGGTTGCCTGGACCTTACTGTGTAACACACAAACCTGGGATGGCTGCTGGTTGTTTACCTGTAACACAGCAGCTTATATGCTGTCAGATCTGGGAGAATATTTCTGAGTTGTTTACTGGTCAAGAAAGGTTGTGCCTGTACAGATGGGCAAAGTATGCATTTGCGTAACGTGATCAGCCGGCCAAATAAGGCCAAACTTACAGTAACACAGTATACGTAAGCCCTAAATCTTGACACAGCTGCAACGTGATACTTTGGATGCAAGTAGGGACCTGAATGGATTGGCAAATCCACGGATCCACACCGTGGATAGTTTATTCCCACGGATACCGTACCACGGTAAACATTCCCACGGTAACCGTGGATTTTTGTGCATCCACAGCACTAATCAGCACTGCTCCGTTTGGCAGGCTGACAAAAGATATTGCCTTTGTAGAGTAGTGTCAATCATTACAAGAGTCTCACCTGACTTGTTTTCATTTACATAATTTTGTATGTAATCAATTTCAACATACACCCGGAAAAAAAATAAAAAATAACTCCAATTATATTTACATTTTCCCACCTGAATAATACTTATTATTATTGATGTATAGTGTATATTCTTATGAGTTACATGTGAATTAAGTGTAAAAAAGCAAAGTAGGAATTGTTACAAAAAAAAAGACAAGTACTAGCAGTGTGTAGCCAAGTATTTTTACGGTGTCGTGGTACACCGTGGTTACCGTGGGAATTTTATCCACGGTAAAGCTGATCCACGGTGTGGATCACGGATAGCACGGATGGTAACCATTTCGGTCCCTAGATGCAAGCATGGCCCTCTTATCACATCGCAGCTGAGCAGCAGGTCAGTTATCATTTCTACTTGCAATCAATTAGGAGACTGTTTTTATTGGCTTTATTGTACTTTTCTTTTTTTATTATTAAAAATCGTATGTAGGGAGGTTTGTTGGTCGGGGTCAATGCAACGCAGTTCGCAGACGAGGATCCCATACGATTATGGATCGTTCAAATTGGTGAGCGCGTCCAATGATTAAAATCCAACAGTCAGCTAACTGATACTAGGTGACTTCAATTAATTGGCAAGGAGCACTTGCAGGACAGTTGGAAAATTTTGGGGTGGCTCGGCAAAGTGGACGTACCTTAATATATACCAAATAGAGATGTAAATCCGTGCAACTCTCTGCAAGTGTCTGCAAGTGCTCGAACCCACTGTTGGCACTTGCAGACGCGTCAGAGTTTGAAATAAAGAAATGTCTGACTACAACCCAACAAAATTCATGAGTAACGTGACATGGGCATTAAATGTCAATCTCTGCAAGTCCAGCTCTTCAATTTTGGGAGACTTGCATAACTCTTGGCATCTTACTCTAAATTGCCAAAGCCCTTCTGCAAGTCTCTCTGCCAATTAATTGAAGTTGCCTACTACAACCAGAGATGTACGATGCTTTATCATTTGTTTCAGCCCTCGTCCCGCGTCGAAAGCTCCTTTCGGCTTAGACCCTGGAACAACAGACAAATCCAGTCTCTCTCCCGACGACTCCTGAATGTGTACAAGCACTGGGTCAGTTTTCTAGATCAGTTATTTTTAGTCTTGCGAGCTTGGTGAGCAGCTCTCATAGGAGGGCTGCGGAGCAGTAGGTCGGCTATTTTCTTCTGCATCAATTAAGATACGTCGACAAGCTGTGTGACTCACGTGATGTAACCTTACCTTCCTAATGCAGCCTCCACAATGAGCACGAAACTCGTCCATCCAGAG